ATTATCGCGAATGGAAAAAACCGTGGATCGTCTTTAGATTTATTGCGATGGAGCTTGTCCATGAGCGTCCTTAGCAAGAGCGGCAATGGCTTAAGTAGCGGCTTTCTTAGGCGAAAACGTCGCTGGATCTGCGGTTCGGAGCGCGTCACCGCTTGTGATTTCGTTCCAAGAACACAGCCGACAAAGGTTTATCCTAACACTCCTGCTCAGTCCTGGCACTACCCATATAAGGCTACTCTATACTTTGCGGCAGCGGTACGTAGCTCTTCCAGCGTAGCCGCCAGCCAGTGCCGTTGAAAGGATAGATATCGATCTAGCTTCACCAGCGTCACCAGCGTACGCTGACGGCACGCAGCGTTTCTCCAGCGGCCACCAAGTCGTTCTGCTAGCGCTCTCAGCGGCAGGAGTACGAGGACTATGTGTGGGCCGTTTGAGGAGGCGCGGATATCGACGTGTTTGGTAAGAGACGTATGTGACCGTCAGAGACGCGGGTATCGACGGTGCTATATAGAAAATAGAGATATGTGGCCGTCGAGACGGGAAGCCGATGTGCTTGTTAGGGAATTAAGGGCGACGTGGAGACGCGTCATCGATGTAGTATTGTGCCTCCAGCTCTTCCACACGTCTCTACTCCCCTGCGCTGCAAACGCAGGCGTACCGCTATGCGTGACGCTGGCTGACGCTTGGACACGCTAGATTCGATATGCATCCTCTCCCGGCACTTGCCGCTGGCTGTACGGTAAGCGCCTACGCGCTGCCGCAAAGCTATAAACGCCAGCCTAAGGGATATCTGCGACCAGTTTTTTTTAGTGTTAGATCATTAATTGGTTCTAAAAAGAGTGCTTCTGCTTCGTACCCTCTCGTCAACGTGTCACAAGCGTTTTTGCAATGCGAAATACCATCATGTTTATGTTTCAATCGGTTTAAATTACCCAGTGGGGGGAAGCTTTGCTAGTTCGAATATATTGATTCTTGACACTCACCTTGGAAAATGGGGGCTAATTTCATGGGTAATCATTAGCGGACTTGGAGCGCTCACTACCACGATGACTGTGCCCCGGAATAGGATTCCCTCCGGATACTTGAGGAATAATGTCCAGACGGCACAAATAAGCTAGCCGGAACTGTTGCTTCGCGTTAAAGACATGACTAGAAGAGGTCATTTCAGTAGTCGAGAGTCAGTCATTCACCAGTATGTCTAGTATAGATTGTAATCGCTGTTAGCTATCAGCTCAGCCATGCCTATCCTATATCCCTCTTTTTTCGAAGTTGGAGTCAGTAAGCTTCTCGTATTTTGATAACAGTCGACGTCGCCTAGAGGGTATTTGACCCCTAAACACGGAATTGGGTACCTGTTTTGCGCGAAGAGCGCCTGTGCAGTCGCGCTACATGTGCCAACGCATTACGCATCCACATCGTGCCCGTTGAGAACTGAAGAACTACTAAAGAAAACCTTCACCATAACCTCGCTCTCATGAGCACATCGTTCTGCAAATTTTGAAGTACACGTTCTGAGTTCATCAGTTGCTGAAAGATGGTACAGTGATGTACATTATCATGCAATGGCCAGGCTGAGCTGTTTACCTTTCCTGCGTGGAGAGCGGTTCTGACAACTCGTAAGGAGTGGATGATCAGTCGGACATCACTCTCCACGCTTCATGGCCGATCTTTCTGTGAGTTGTGAAACTAATGCGTAGGTTTACTGTTAGAACTTCTCACGAAAAGTCCTTGTGTCGATTGTAGTGGAGGCTTGGATTTAAAGCCCTGCATCAACGAACGAAACCTGGGACACTTTGCGACGCTAACATAACTGGTGTCGTTAGCATTTGCACTTCGTAGCCCACTCTGACGCCAGCATGTTAGCTGCAGATGCCAAAATAACGAAGCTGAATAAGGACGATGCCCCCAATCATCGGGCGACCTTTCCACGACGCTGATGCTTCAAGGTGGGAGCCCAGAGAGCCCACAGTTTTGATTGTTTGGGTTACCTGCGAACTCAGCTTGAGAGAGAGAGCTGTGGGTCGGGAAACTGCTGGAGAAGCTGCTTCCTCGGTCAATGCGTACGCAGAGCAGCTACGAGATCTAAGGCGTACCATCAATTAGAGGAAAAGATTTGTCCGCTCAGCCCGCCCCCATCATGATAGTGCAGCGCACCCGTCTAAAAAAGTTTGAGCCGTACTTCATGCAAGAGAGTTGGATAGCTCTCCCCTTGCATGTGTAGCACAGACATTGCTCCTTCTAAATGCGTGTTGCCCCTCGTACTCAATCGTTATGTGGATGAGAAAACCACCACAACCCGAGCCCAAGAAAAAATTGAGATGATGTCCAACTTTGCGTCGCGCCGCCGCTCGAGGACTTCGATGATCAACGTAGCGTTCGGTGATAAAGGAAGACTTTGTGAGCGCAGTTGAGTGACGGGGGCGGGGGGGGGGACATCTTGCACTTACGTTCACTGGTTAAACTCTCCTTCTGGTGAAACCTGCGAACTCTTGTGAAGCTGGGGCAAGCCCTTTGAGCCAACGTAGTGAAACCTGTCCACTCTTGTGAGCTCACGAAGTCTCTATCTCTAGATGGGAAGATGGGAAGTAGAAAAAGTGTAAAATGCCCAGCTCCCCATCCCCGCTCTCGTCGCCTGACTGCCCCGACTCGTGTATTGGCTTGCTGGTCACTCGTCTTTTATGTCAATCCTGCTAGTCTGCTTCTTCGTCCGTGGTTGGGCTGACGACAGAAAAAAGACTACTGCTGGCGAAACTGACGGCGAGAAGTAGCCGTCGATGCTTCCCAACTCTGTCATGATGTTCTTATTGCGATAAAAGCCTACTCCTGCTACAAAGGAGACCTAGCCGGATTATCCACAACCTCTTGACGATAAACGACACAGATAGCATCTTCCAAGAAATAAGCATCAGTGATGTGATTAGGAAGGGTGGAAGGAGCAGAGGAACCAAGCGCGTCAGTAAAGAGTAAGTTTTCACGCATCTCCTGTTATGTGTTTTGAAGAAACAAACCTGGTACTGAAAGAAAATGAAGTTCCTTGTTTCGCTTTTGTTCTGCACACTGAATTTTGTCGAAGTGGAACCTGTACCGCTCTGTAGGGAACGTCGACTTTGCTCACCCTTCTGAAAGAAATGTAGGTCACCTTCATGAAATTTGCAAAAAAAGACCTTTTTCACCTTTTCGCTCATAGACTCAAGCGAGATGAACGGAATTCTCCACATTCGATTCAAGCGCTCAGCCTCCTTTTTTCTCATTCTGAACCACATGCAGTCAGAAATGTAAAAGTCAAAGGAGAATTGGAAAGCGTTCATGTGCCTTACAGATTTTTCGTGGTGATTGAGAGTGAAAAACTCACTGTATCAAGTAGCATACGACGAGTATGATGGTCAGTATGACGAGCAAAACCAAAAGGCCACCAACGATTACCCAAACGAGATACTGATCCACGAAGTTGTACGGACACTGTAATTGACACCCGATTGGTAGCATTACACCCTATTCCGTGAAGATAGGTTCATACTTTGCGGCAGCGTCCATCGGCGTCCAACAGCGTCCGTCTGCGTTCCGAGCGTTCGGCAGGGTCAGCGACTAGCAAGGTATAGGTATTGTTCTAGCGTCCAGCGTCTCGAAGGCTGAGGAATCAAAGGTGTGCTGCTCAAAGGTGAGCTTCTGCCAGGGTCTGCCAGTTTGCACCGGCGTCTACTAGCGGCCTGGAGAGGAAGGTATGGGGAGAAAGGAGGGTAGCGGACTGCTGGTAGAGAGTATGGCGCGATAGGAGGGAACTTGCTGTCTGTTGCCCTCCTATCGCGCCACGCTCTCCTCTCCGAACGCTGGTAGACATACCGTTCGCTAGATCGATATCGAATTTTTCTAGACGCTGACGCTGCCGGAGCCCACTGGTTTGCTGGTGAACGCTGAGTATGAATGCAGCCTAAGGATTACTGTGCAAGCATTCTAATACTTATAGTTCTTATGAACAATTTGAACTTTGTCTGAGCAGGAGAACTATGTATTGAGCTAGCCCACGAGTGGTAGTGTTTTTTCTAACTTAAATTTTGAATTGTTCATTGAGAATGAAATGTTTTGCAGTTGAGTAGTTTACGCGAGATAGAAATTTTTTCTTACACTGTAAGATAGGGGGCCTAGTTCTGTCGTAGACTATACTTTCATTAATTTTCATAGGAGTGTCGAGTCGACAAAACCAAGGAACTTCCAATACCCTCTCATCTTTGCATTTAATCTAAACTGGAGCTGCAGAGTCCCACCTGTTGAGAAGATGGTCCAGAAGCAATGTCTCTTGAGAAGGCACAAAACGTTTTAAACGGCCCGAAGATTTCAATTTGGACCTCAAAAGCAGAAGTAGCCAGAAGAAGCATCAGTTACCCTATCGAGATCAATTGAGGGCCAATCGAATCAGCTTGTCAGCAGAGAGCCATGACAGAAGAAATAGGAAGATTCAGAGGTCATTGAATGCTCTTGCGTTCTTAATAGGGCATCTCCTTCAGTTGTTGTGAAAGGTTTGAAACTTGATGAATGGGTTCTGTGAACAGCCGCTTGCAAAGAAGTGTCCCATGCTATGCACATTTACGAGAACGGAATTCCCGAATTGGATTCGCTTACTCACTTCCTGCCGTACTGAGAGGTCGTTCAAGTTACTGGTTCCGCCATTTTGTAAAAGAAAAGAAAACATTATTGCTCATGGGCCAATCCAATCTTCTTCTCATTCTTCGTCCCACACGGTGGCACGGTCCGCTCTTCTGATATGATAACGCCATTCTTGAACGCCTGGTCGGGGTGGATTCAGCTATGAGCGTTGTGATGTGGCACGAGGTTTTCGTAGGTGGGCCCGCCATGAAGGCTTGTCACCTGCCTTCGAGCTTCCGCGTTTCGTTCAGACAGCAGAAGCGGGCAGTTTCCAGTGGCACCCGTGCAAAAGCAAACATCACCGCCACGTGGGCCAACCCAATATTTCGCTTAACTTCGAGAATGTGATTTAAGAGTACCTGATTTCCAAGAAATCCACATCTCGGTATTGCCAGTGGTCGCACTCCATGTGTAGCCCACCACAAGTCCGCTTCTTTGGTGTAAAGTGGCTTATAGGTCTGCATTGAAATTAATAAGGAATCTTTCCAATAAGAGGAACTGAGGCTGGGCATTGAGCAGTTGACCATTGACCTGCTTTGTTACTGTAAGCATAAGGTCTAATCAATGCATTTTTGGGATGCGGCATGCATTCCACATCTATTCAGAATAGTGGTGGCATATTGAATGCGATGTGGCCTATGCAATGACTTCCGTGGCCCAGCCGATGTACAAGTCAGTGTTTCATCCTCCCAGACGAATTTAGTACCAGATCTCCCTGGAGGATAGAAGGAGGATAGAAGGCTTGGCTGGACTGGGCGGGAGTCGACTCGGGATTTGAACCCGGGACCGCATGAATGGTAGGAGCGCCACTTGTCACTGCATCACCTCCGCCTTGATTTGTTACTATAATTGCTATTTATCGCTACATTTTAAAGTTGTGGTGAATAAAGAGTAGTGCTCTGTCCAGGGCGTCACGCCTACTGGACAGATATGTTGACCAGTACACCTCCAGGACCGCCTCAAATCCCGCCCCCCCTTGGAGTTTGTTTAAAGGCACGGTCCGCACTCAGGCATAGAAGTTGAAAATGTGGCGTCGGGAGGGTAGAGTAGTTCGCTGCAAACAACCTTGTACCGGTTTCGCGGCAAAAAACTGTGAGGGAGGCGAGCTATAGCGCAATATAGGTTCAGTGACGCCCCTTTTTTAAATGACTCCGCCTCCAGACTCCGCGTTTAGAACCCACCCTCTTTCAGTGACAAACGAAGCTGCAGGACGAAAAAGCATGAGAATCGTCACTTTTACGTCCGTAGAGTTCTTATCGGTGAATCAGCGTTGTGGATAGGGACGTAGTGTTGGTGGTGAAGTTAAATGGCCACGTACAAACTAAGATCGAAACGGGGTTCTATCTAGGGCAGTTGGCATGTTTTTGTGTGCTTCTTTTCTTAACTATAAAATTGCTCAGAACCTTGTTGTCTATGTCGTCGAACTCCTAACCAGCTTTGTCTATGTCGTCGAACTCCTGACCAGCTTTGTCTATGTCGTCGAACTCTTAACCAGCTATCTGTGATGGCGAATGACCGCGGGCTTCGCCTTTGAGCCGCAAGCCATGAAGGGAGGAGGGATGATGGGCGTGCGCCATGCAAGAAGGCCATTATGTTAGAAGGTCAGAAGGTGCCCCTACAACTTATAAACAGAAGCAATGATGTTGTGATGGCCATTAGACCAGTCCACTCAGCATGTGGGTCAAGAAAATCCTGGCCAGGTCAACTTCTTTGCCCATAACCCAGCCTTTTTACAGAATCTCTCCCTGTTGGTAACAAATGTTCAAAAAAACAAGATGAACTTACCCCCTTATATCCATCAACATCGATAGTACCGTACAGAACTTGCACACCGGAGCTGTTCAAGCTATCGAGATAGAAAACTGGCTTTCGCGTGCCATTGCGGCTGATATCGACAGTGCCTGATACACCTGCACGAATTTGTAAAGTATAGTTGAAGTACAGACCAACAGAGCAAAAAAAAGCATTGAGAAGAGTTTCGTTTTGAACTGGTTGGTTGAGAACTTCCGCAAAGAAACCGCAAAAGAACCAGCACAGCTGAACGCATTGAATTTGCGGAACACTGATGCAACAGCACTGACGACACCTTACAGTTATCAAAAAACAAAATTAAAATTTGTCCTCAGTGGATTTTGAAATCTCTTATGAATGAATTAAGCGTGAAGATAGCACTTCCATTCCACAAGAGTTTCACTTCAGCTCTGAGAAGACGCTGTGGAACAATAGCGATAATCAGTTAGCATTTACCTTTGAACGACATTATGATATTGTCGAGAAGCAGCGATCCATTGCGATATGCTGTGGAATCTGCTTGAAGTGTGACGTTCAGTGCACGAGCATAGGTGTAGAGGGCGTCATGAAGTTGACCAGCATAAGCTGATGCCTGGGAATCATATCCTTTTATTGACGCTCAACCCTTCAGCTCCACTGCTTTTACTCCCAATTGTACAAAAAATTTCTCCGATTTCATATGCGTGGAGGGGGAGGTGTTGCTGCTTACCCCCCCCCTCCTCAACTGGTAGAAAACAGGCTGGGGGAGCGCCATACTCAGCCTCATTGACGCTTCTCATAATCAGCAGCGAGCAAGACTGTATCAACGTCGCCCTAGATCATACACGGGCAGCATCGTTGTGTGTAACACCCAGGGGCGCTCGTATTCTTCCCCTGTGGAGGAGGAGGGGTTGTATTTGGTCGCTGGAAGAAAGGGGGTCGTATGTGCCTTCAAAGACACATGGTACGCTCAAACACATTGGGGTGTATGAGACTATCAGCCCCCCAGCTGTCGATGTTTCGTGGTCCCTCCGCCCAAAACTGCACGGAGTCAGAGTACGGGGCCGTGGGAGAGTCGTAATTCCTTGCTACACCGCCAGTTTCGCAAACTCACGTTTTTTCTAACACCATCCGCGCGGCGCGGTCGCGTGCAGCTCTTTTGGCTTTTTGCCAAGTCCTGTAAATGCGCTTTGGAATACAAGTACAACTCAGTTTCCTGATGCGGATAACCTTTCAGATGCTGCAAAATAAGAAGATGATGACGAGGGCCAGAACTCAAGAGCAACCGTGCTGCTTCTGCAATATGCCTCGGAGGCCGCGCATCCCACAGAACATGACATTAAAATGGCCCAAGCATCCCACTCGTTAGTTTGAAGTATCTATTAGCTTTAGAGCCGGATTCGAGCCGGATCGCAGAGATGCACAGTTTTAATTAATTTGCGTTTCTTTAGTTTTTTTTCAAATTTGTTTTATTTACATCTACATTCGTTGTTCTTCAGCCTTTGTCATCTTCATCACCTTCTACTCGGACTTTGAAGCATGAGCAATATGTCGTGACTCCTGCACGACTTCTTCGCATCGGTCCGCCGTTACGTCCATTGCGCACTACCGCACGCGCAGCTGTCAACAACTGCCATGTTTGAAGGACCGTTTTTCGCAGGCCGCACTGGGGTCTCGCCGCGCAGCTGTCTCTTCGCTGACCATTCGACGCAACTCCCCATTTTTTGGGCCCACGAGGAGCTGGAGTTGTGCAGTGGAGTTTGCTGTCGCCCGTCTCTACGTCGCAGTCGTCCGTCTGCCTATTGCAGCCGTCGTCCGTCCCCCCTTTCCTCTCACCCATGAGTCTGAGGCTCTTCCTTGTCTAAGCTTGGCCTACTGTCCCACGTTATGCGCAGTTGCCACCCTGGGGCAACTATGTCTTGCGCATCTTCCGCCGTCTTTCGTCCGAGGATTACCGCAAATGGATTGGAGAAAATCGGGACCGCAGGTAGCTGGAGAGCCTCCATGGCCCCATATTAACGCAGGGAGCCGGCACGTGGGTATCTTAGCCTTGATAGGTGTTTTCCGTTGTTAGATTAGTGATAAATAACCTTTCGCACTTTTCTTTCCTTTTTCTGCATATCACGTGTTCAAACACGTTTTTACTTACGATTGAAGTATTGCTCATTTGTGCTTGATGTGTTATCGCATTTTTGATAGTCCTTTATCGTCTTATTGAGTGGCCCAGTTAGGATGTCCGCAGCTGGTTCATATGAAAGTGGACGCTTTATTGTACTCTGAAGTTTGGGACTAGCAGGACTGCAGAAGCATAAGTCTTGAGGGACCACAAGCGGGCGCAGAAGGCATCGAGATCAAGGGGATGAGGACCGCAGGCGTTGCCGCGTGGCACAGGTTGATAATAGGCGAGACCCCCTTCTTCACCAAAGGACCCGACACGGCGCGCACCTCCCTACAGGAACCACCGCAGCAAGGGACCTGCGTCGCGACATGGTGCATCGGGACTGGGGTTGGGCGTGTGGCAACACACGTCCAGCCTTAGCGATCGAATCCCTAACAACGCATAGATGACTGGTGGGAAACCAATTGGAAAACGCACGCGGAACTACCCGGTTAGTCCCGGGCTTCTCGTCCGTCGGCTGCGTAGGGCTCTACCAAACCACCCTGGTGGTCTTGTGGATGCATCGGAACCTGGAGTGGCACCAGCCGCCTTTGCTACACCTGACCTTAATCCGGATTCAGGGCAGAGGAGGGATACTCCCACTGAGTCATATAAAAGGAAGCAAGAGGACTTCAAGCGCTCAGGCCGCATTTTTGGTGCGCAAGCAACGCCGGGACCCCGATTGGAACATCCGAGCGGGTTCCGCGTGCAAGACCCAAGTGGACTCCCTACCAGAATCTACCGCCACTTCCAAACTCATCGCATTTATGCCTTATCAATTTTGCCACATATAGCTCGCACTGTCTATCATCTTCTTTGTGGAATTTCCGTTTCGAAGCCAACTTCGTCGCTCCGGTGAAGCACCGCGAGAGACTCACGGCCAGAGTCTTCTCGCGGCATAACATTTACTCACCCTCCCCATTTTATATTTGGGTAAGGCAGTGTCATCTACTGCGAGTACTTTTACAACATATCAACAATAGGCGCTTGTAAAGGAAACCTAACGAAAGCGCATACTACAGAAGCAGTAAAAGGTAAGATCTCTCAAGATCTTATCGATTCCTTTCATTATGAATCAGTATCGCCCACCGACGAGCGTCAGCTTCTTGCTCAGCGCCAAGAGGATCTTCAGACGCACTTGTCGAACATACGAGCAGCCTTGCGCGCTCGGTCAAGAGCCACAATTGAACAACGTGAAAGCAGTGTCAACCAAGAGCAGCAGCAAGAAGAAACGAGACACTACAGTCACGCCACGCAGCTTTCACAAACGTCGACCTCGCAGGTGCCGAGGGAAATTGAGCCCCACGGAGGGTTATAAACCAACTCTATCCTTTCTGGTGGGACGCAACCCCTTGGGCAGCCTTCAATTTAATTGGGAAAACTCACCCTTGAGCCTTTCAACGGGGACATAACCAAGTTCCAGCGCTGGTGCGCATTTGAGGTAGCTATCCATAATCCTTACATTCTATAAAGCAGAAACTTTGTGTGTCGGTTTGTCGGTCTGTATGTAAGTATGTAGGTATGTATGTTTGTCCGTCTCGCAAATGCTTCACGGGTTCGAATTAGTGGAAGGAAGAACGACCGCTAAGCAAAATCGGAAATCGATTGTGCAGATGTATCAATCCAATGTTTTGAATTTGATAACAGCTTGCACTATATAAGACCATCATTCGGTACACTCCTAGGCCATTGCACGAGCTGCTGCCGTGGCAGCTGGACATGTGCTCGTGCGGGGGCAGGGTGGGTGGAGCCGAGGGAAGGGGGATGCAAAGGGCCCCCTCCCCCTCTGCTTCCTTCCCCTGCACGTGCTCAGCCCGACCTGAGCATGTGCAAGTGAAGGAAGCAGAGGGGAGGGGGTTCGGTGAGGGGCCCCCCTCCCCTCTACTTTCTAGGGGAAGGGAGCGTATTGCACGCTTGGGTAGAATAATAGCAGGAGAGTAGGATACAACCGCTAACAAAACTGTGAGCTAATCCATAATAGAGTAGCAAACTAAGGTAAGATGTTGTTTTGACTTGATAATCCCCACCCTATCTAAGACAGTTATTCCGTACATTCCGGGCCATCGCACAAGCTGCTGCGTGGCAGCTGGATATGGGCTCGCCCGTGGGTTGATCCATCTATTACGATTCGACCATATCCATTATGAGCAGCTAAGTGGAGAAAAAAATTTTGTTGCCATCATGAAGTGCGGCCACCAAGCCATCTAAAGAGAAGGAGGAGAGCTCGGCGTTAGCCGGGCGATCCGACTGGTGATATTACTATTTCACCAACATTTAAGTTTTTATATCTACAAAACTTACTTAAGGGCGAAGCGCAGATAGTACTTCAGAACTTAGGTCCTGGCGAATGCAATTAATTCGCACTGGTGAAAGCTCTTAAAAAGAGATACGATCGCCCCCACAAAACGCGCGCCATGCTCCACAGACAGTTGCAACAGCTACCCGTAGCCGGTCATTCAGGGTCAGAACTGCGCAATACCTGGTTCCGCATTTCGGGTATCCTTCGCGGCTTACGCAAATACGAAGATTTCCGCACTGTCTTACCTATACTGGACCTCGTAAAGGGCAAATTCCCCTCTGACATACAACAGAAGTTGCACGACGTGGAATTTCAATCTGACGCAGACTTCGACTATCAAATAATGCACCGCTTGGACAACATAATAGCATCAAAGGAGAAGTATGAGGACTCAACCACATTACGAGACAGCTACTCAGTGAACAATATGCAAAGTCCTAGCCGTCTTCCAAGACCGCGTTCTCAGTCGTCAATTTCAATTTACAGAACAGCAAAATGTGTCTTTTGCGGATCGCATAGGCACAAGTCGCGGGAGTGCCCAGTGAACATTCCTGTCGAACGCATTAACATTGTCCGCATCTGCAACCTTTGTCTGCGTCTCGAACAGGGTCACTCACGTCGTAGCTGTCGCCATCCAGCGTGTAGACGATGCTCAGAAGACCATCATGAGATCCTCTGTAGGTATCGCCCGCGTAGCGAACAATCGCGACATAGTTCTCACCGACGAGACTATCGCAGGTCTCGTGGATACGACTATGAACGCAACAGACGCGACTATCGATCACCATCGTATGACCGATACCCGTCAAGGAGCCCTTCGAGAGGCAGACGCAGACACAGGAGCTACTCAGGCAGCGAATAGTCACGATCGTCGTCCCGCGAACGCTCCTGCTTCTACGACAATCGACGCCCCTAGTCCCCCACCAAGGGCCACTCGAGGTCACCAAATCGGTTACCTTTCGTTCACCGATCAGGGACCGCCCGGCGTACAGTCCGGTGAGAAGCAGTCACTCAAGTAGACGGGTTAGTTCACCGCACCGAGCTACCTTTCAGCACCAAGAGCAACAATCGGACACAGAATTCGACCAACTTAATCACTGTCTACAAGCAGGGGTAGCTAAACGTACTGGTACCAAAGCCACGTTAATGTTAGCAAACGCAAAAGCCTTCGACAAGAACGCAAGAAGGCTCTATCAAGTTACCATACTGTTAGATTCGGGCGCGCAAAATAGTTTCATCACTACGCGTACAGCAAAACACATAGGTCTAACAGTACGCGATAAAAAAGAACGCACATTTATTACATTTGGTGGCCATGGCACCACAGAAGTCACCGGTATCGTTGACGTTACACTGGTCGATGTACTTGACCAAACGTTAACGTTGTCTCTTATCACTAAAGATACCATAACTTCACCGCAGACCCCTCCACAACTTCCTAACATAGATAAAAGATTCATTAAAGGAAAAGGCTTGCAATTTCCGTCATGCATGCTACCGCACACAGTCCTGACTCACATACTAATCGGTATAGACAACTATTGGGACACCTTCACGCAAGAAACCCCCGTTTGCCTACCATCAGGATTGGTGTTCACGCATACGAGATTTGGCACGGTCGTCTCAGGGAATTCAGTTTTTTGCATGGGTCATCAGAAAGCCCAAAAGCCATAAAATATTCGCAGCCCTCGATCAGGAGGACGACGACGCAGCAAGACGGGTTGCTCGATTCTTTAGGGATAACGGATGACCATGACCCTAACGCAGACAACGAAATCAACACTCGCATTTTAAAGAACTTTTACGATTCTTCGCAATTCATTAACGGTTTTTTGTATGTTCAATCTCCATGGAAAGCTAAGCATCCAAAATTGCTTGACAATAAACAACTAGACCACTGCCGATCAGTCAGCCAATATCAACGACTACGCAAGAGCTCGGCCGCATGGATGCAGTACGTGACCACCATAGAAGACCATCTTCGCGCAGGTTCCATAGAAGAAGTCAACGAACACGTTCTCGATAGTCATCGGATTTGCTTCATCCCGCACCAGGCTGTCTACAAAGAATCTTCCTCAACGACGAAACTGCGCATCGTCTTCGACGCATCATCCAAAGTACGAGGAGAACCTAGCCTTGCATACATCAGGGACCCACCCTGTTGCCAGACCTCGCAGGCATCCTACTCCGCGCAAGGCTTCATCGTTACCTCCTAATCGCAGATGTCGTAAAGGCCTCCCACCAAATTCGCCTTCAGGTTTCGCAACGCGATGCTACTCGTTTCTTGTGGCTCCGAGATTCGCAAAGTCCCCCATCGGCAGACAATTTACGCATCTTCCGGTTCACCCGCGTCCCATTCGGGATCAACGCTTTCCCGTTTATGCTCGCAGCGTCCATACAGTACTACTTACGTCATCTCAATTGCCCGCTTGCCAAAGAAATTGAGCCAATACCTATGTCGATAATGTAGTCCTTGGAGCTGCGTCGCACAATGAAGCTGTTGACAAGTATCGCTTAGTGAAGTCCGTCTTTGGTGATATGCATATGAACTTAAGACAGTTCATGTGCAACTCGAAGATGGCGATTAACACAATACCCAAACAAGATCGGATCGCAAACGAACACACTTCGCAGTTAGGGATCAAATGGAACCCTTATCGAGATACGTTCCATATTCCCACAAAAACCTTAGACGTCGGTGTCCACTCTAAGCGCACAGCACTCCGTGCCTTGGCTTCCACATACGATCCTCTTGGCTTTCTGACTCCCTTCTTCGTCAACATTAAGATATTCATACAAGATTTGTGGTCGAAGGAACTAGCTTGGGATGACTAGCTAGAGGAATCGAATCGTCAGCGTTGGTCAGATTTCCTTGTCGACATCAGCGAACCCCTTCCACCTATACCTAGGCCAATTAACACAAAACCTCTGCGCTCTAGCACTTTTGAACTGTGTGTTTTCGGAGATGCTTGCAAACGATTATACGCTTGTTGTGCTTACCTCATCAGTCATCCGCATCGTCCGTGACATCACGTCTCGTGATGGCAAAGTCGCACCTCAATGACCTTAATCAATAACGGTACCAAGAGCTGAACTCCTCGCGATCCTCATCAGTGTCCGCCTTGCGCTACTAGGAGACGACTGCGCAGCTTCCCTCATTGCATAACTGCAAAACAGTTTCACAGCTTCCACCATCAAAGGGGACGGCTGCGCAGGTTCCATCATCGCAGGTCGCCCGTACGGCAAATCTTTCGCATCACACGGGTGGGCGGTGGGAGACCGCTTTGTCTTTTGCATTTCTCCGGGTATTCCACGTGCCTCTTTCGTCGATCCATAGGGCTCTTTCGCACTTTCCGTGAGGGAAATCTCCCCCTCACACTTTGCACACCCCGAGGAGCACGAAAACATTGCTCCGCACGAAACTAACCCTTTTTGTTCTTGCTTACATCAACGACGATCACCAACACTTCACACCGCACCTCACATGGAATGTTGCCGCCACACTATCCGACCGACAAGACATACGCCACATCGACCGTCGGAAACCGCACAGATCTCGCCACTCTCGCAACCGCCCATCGTTTCTTGTGATCCAAATGATTGTGACGTCTCGCATTGTACTATTTTTTGTTAACTAACAGCTATTGTATTGAGATACTTACCGACCCGGTCATCGCAAGCGAATCACCCTATCCTGCAAGCGTGCGATGGATCCAGGGACGCACGTACTTATGCCCCTCGGGTAGGCTTCGGTTTTGACGGGTTTGTACGTAAAATAAGGTGAGGGAAGCTCTCCATTCCTGCAGCGCGAGCGGCTTCGTCTTTCCGCCGTCCCCAGTGCCGTGACTCCTGCACGACTTCTTCGCATCGGTCCGCCGTTACGTCCATTGCGCACTACCGCACGCGCAGCTGTCAACAACTGCCATGTTTGAAGGACCGTTTTTCGCAGGCCGCACTGGGGTCTCGCCGCGCAGCTGTCTCTTCGCTGACCATTCGACCCAACTCCCCATTTTTTGGGCCCACGAGGAGTTCTTTTCGGGCTGGAGTTGTGCAGTGGAGTTTGCTGTCGCCCGTCTCTACGTCGCAGTCGTCCGTCTGCCTATTGCAGCCGTCGCCCGTCCCCCCTTTCCTCTCACCCACGAGTCCGAGGCTCTTCCTTGCCTAAGCTTGGCCTACTGTCCCACGTTATGCGCAGTTGCCACCCTGGGGCAACTATGTCTTGCGCATCTTCCGCCGTCTTTCGTCCGAGGATTACCGCAAATGGATTGGAGAAAATCGGGACCGCAGGTAGCTGTAGAGCCTCCATGGCCCCATATTAACGCAGGGAGCTGGCACGTGGGTATCTTAGCCTTGATAGGTGTTTTCCGTTGTTAGATTAGTGATAAATAACCTTTCGCACTTTTCTTTTCCTTTTTCTGCATATCACGTGTTCAAACACGTTTTTACTTACGATTGACGTATTGCTCATTTGTGTTTGATGTGTTATCGTCATTTTTTGTATAGTCCTTTTATCGTCTTATTTGAGTGGTCCAGTTAGGATATCCGCAGCTGGTTCATATGAAAGTGGATGCTTTATTGTACTCTGAAGTTTGGGACTAGCAGGACTGCAGAAGCCTAAGTCTTGAGGGACCACAAGCGGGCGCAGAAGGCATCGAGACCAAGGGGATGGGGACCGCAGGCGTTGCCGCGTGGCACAGGTTGATAATAGGCGAGACCCCCTTCTTCACCAAAGGACCCGACACGGCGCGCACCTCCCTACAGGAAGCACCGCAGCAAGGGACCTGCGTCGCGACACAATACCTCAAATGTTAGGAAATTACGTTTTGCTTGTGTCATGTCTTGATGTCATGTTGTCCGTTTTTATTGTCACGTTCTGTGGGAATGCACGGCCTCTGAGGGATATTGCAGAAGCAGCACAATTGCTCTTAAGTTCTAGCTCTTGTCATTATCTTCGGTTCTTATTTTGCAGCACCTAAAATGTTATCCGCATAAAGAAATTGCGTTGTACTTGTGTTCCAATGCTGAATTACAGGACTTGGCAAAAAGCCAGGGGAGCTGCACGCGACCGCGCGTCGCGGATGGTATTAGTAAAAACGTGAGTTTGCGAAACGGGCGGTGTAGCAAGGAATTACGACTCTCCCACGGCCCCGTACTCTGACTCCGTGCAGTTTCGGGCGGGGGGACACGACACATCGACAGTTGGGAGGCTGATAGTCTCATACACCCTCAATGTGTTTGAACGTACAATGGGTCTTTAAGAGAAATTTGTCGCGTTGGTTTTCCGGTTCAAATAAATAGCTGATCTGCGACCAGGGCACGCCAACTTGAAATAATAACAACGGGGGGGGGTCGTATTTGCTCTGGGGAAATTTTATTTGATTCCTCTTCTTCCACAGACGCTATAAAGGGGGTCGTATTTGCTCGTTGTTGGAAGGGAGGGGGGAAGTTGTATTTGTCTTGAGGAATGTGCGGCATTGAGAAAAAACTTTTCGGTTGTTGGCTTTCTGCAGTTTTTCCCTTTCTCTCCAGAATCATACACATACTATTTCCGATAGTACAAAATAGCAGTTAGTTCCTGACGACCTCACCCCAAACGCTTGACAGCAAAATTTTGCGGAAAAACTAGAAATTTTTCGGGAAATGCCGGACAAGGTGGTATAAGGTTGGGAAAATTTAGGAAAGTAGTAGGTAGGATGGGAAAGGAGGGTCGTATCAGAGGATGGAATCAGGGAAGTCGTATTTTGCAGGAACTTATCACAACGCGAAAGCGTGTCCTGTCCGCGACATCAAGCGCTTGATTGATCCGTTTCAACGCTTCACCGCTTGTAGGAAAAGCAGAAACATATGTGCCAAAGGGAAAACTGTACGATAAAACGCGTGAGATCAGCAGTTCACCCGCCACAGTGTTCGCCTCAGAGTTAGTTCTACTCACTAGTCAACACTGCATTTTCCCCAAGCATTATGGTGATTGACGAGTTGATCACCTGATTCAAAGTCATTGATCCAAAGCTCCACTGTGGAAACCATTCCCTGTAAAGACTCTCAGCAAGTGGCGTTAACTTACATATGAATACTGAAATCCTTGGCAATCCTTAGTGCAGAAAAAAGGAGCTTCCTTCATTCTGGAGACAACGAGCTGGCTAAAGTTTCTGTACTCGTCGGTCAGGCCACCGCTACCCATGTGCTGAAAAATGAAGGTATGAAAAGTCACAATATCACAAGGTGCTCTACTTGACTCGTTCAAAAAAATACATGCAGGTTCCCGCGTTCCTAGCGTACTGCACCAAACTTATCTTAGGGGCTGAGGGGGAGGGGCGTACATGAAACTGTCAATGCAATCGTTATGGTTGAGAAAGTGTGACTCAGTCCCAGTACCAACTACATACCCTATCGGTCATTATTACCTCATGATCATCACCACAACTTTAGTTGAGTATATCTCTAACCAAAGGGAAGTTTCACCTGGCAAAAGGAAAAGGCGAATCTCCACACCAGCCTTCATTTGCTGGATTTTCACTGGCTATCATCGTCGCCACGCTTCGAGCGAGCTGTTACCACAGCTCGAGGGTGGAACCACAGAAATTTAAAACTCGAAAGAGAACACCTTTATTTTTTTCTTGCTGGTTTGCAATAAGAATCATCTCGTCATCAAAAAATGTCGACAATGGTACAACCGAATCAAATACTTCGAGTCAAGGGTAGGAAGATAGAGAATTTTGAACGCACTGTGAGCCTACACTAGGTAACGAGTAATCGTGCTGCTTTTCCCTCACCAGTGGTCAGTACAGCCTTCGGGTCTTAGTGTTCTGCAGGTGCGCAACCTCAAGGAGTGATGGGAGTACTCGGTAAAGCGGTAGGACTCCAGCAACTGGTCTGCCCATTCAGCTACAAAAGTTGGCTTCAAGAAGGACAGAATCATGCAAAAAAAATGTCAAGTGAGAAAATGTACGTTGAAAGAAAAGAGAAGAGTTGCTGAGTTTTCGAGGCCATCGAGTTCGCTAGGAATGGGTTTTTGATTTTTTATTGCTTCATTCAAGGTTGTGAGCGTTTTGGTAATCTTGAACTATTAGGTTGCTCAGAAAGAAATGAGCGTTGACTTTGTTCATTTATTTCTCTCCCACTATAGAAGATTTACAAAACAATTCTGCTTATTAGAAAGAGATTTTTATTGTGCATCTTTTGATTTAAATTTGTCTATGTCTACTTTGTTTTTTAAGGAAAAAAAGTCACTTCTTCTCTCTTCTTACTGCGTCGTCAAGGTGTCGAAACGACGTCGACAAAACTCCTCCACGACAACGCTTGTCCACCTGTCGGGAAAATCACTTTGAAAAAAAATCGAGGAACTGGGCTGGGAAGTCATGCCTCATCCGCCATACAGCAGGACCTGGCACCATCCGATTACCATCTGTTCCGGTCGATGCAGGCCGTGAGAAAATTCACAAACCGCGAAGAAGTCCAACTCTGGGTGTTCAACTACTTTGAGTAGCAGGCGGCCGAGTTCTTCGAAAGAGGAATCCATTCTTTTCACAAACGTTGGCAACAAGTCATTGATAATTGGCGGAAAAGTTTTGTCACTATTTTGAACTCAAAGTACTCGTCCATTACCGGAAGAGCGGCGAACGGTAATGTGAGCACTTATACATCAAAGAGTGGTCCTTCTTCTGGCACTCGCTTGATTCCTGCTTCTTCTTCTTCTGCAATATGGACAAGAATGTTATCCGCTACCACCACCGACTGCACCAAATGCTTCTGATAGTGCAGCGCACATCCAAAAAAGTTCTAGCCGTTCCTCATGCAATAGAGCTTAATGGCTCTTCCCTTGCAGTGGTGTAGCACAGGCATGCTCCTTCTAAGTGCGAGTTGCCTCCCGTAATTAATCATTACTATTAGGTTGGCGGAGAAATTCTATCACTTTTTCAAATTGGGCTTTCTTTTTATAGAGAGGCGTGTAAGATCAAAATTGTACAGCAATTTTACTGCGGAGTCCTTGCCTGTTTTTGAGCACCTGATGGATGCCATCGCTTAACAATGCAGGGGACGCGATACAAACTTGGCCATCTTCTCAGTCTTGGCTTGAACTCAAACTTTTCGAGGTTTTCTCATAATTTCTCGTGCAGTAAAGTAATAGTAATGGAGATCATCTTTTGAACTGATCTTGTTTAAATTTATAATAAAAAAATTCTTCAAACTTAAACGCGCATTTCTTTCCAAATAACCTGATACATTCCCGCCTACCCGCATATATGCGTTGTTTGTTGTAAAATGACTGTTAAACAATCATGCGGATTATTTGTCTGTGCAAGATTATAAGACAAGACCTACATCGGTGATGACCATAGTTTTGCCAAATGCCGTCTTAGCTTCCTCGTCTCTGCCATCGCTCTTTGGTTTCACATCCACCCATATCGGTAGTTCTTTTCCACCGGCTAGGGGTGACGCTAAAATTTATTTTCATTTGCGATCTACAGAGAAGCGCTCCTCTTTCCTGCTAACTGGAAAGCCAATCAGTGCCATACGACCATATAAATGAACCTTCGTGATGGGCTTGCTAGGAGCTAGGACGACGAGTTTTTGTGGTTTCTGTTTCTCCTCAGGCTCTATAGGAGCTGTGAAGGCACAACTCGTGAATGGTCGGATCGAAAAAGCGGTCCCCTTTTACCTGCTTGAGCATATTCAACAAACGCACTGTAGGCTTATGATTTGGAGACCCTGGACCATGGCTCTCTTATCAGAACGTTTTCATGAAGCAATGGAGGTCCGCGATAGGCAGGATAGGACATGATGGAGGGGGTTCTAGTGACGTGATCGGTGGGGAATGGGATAACTGCTGCACTGCATTCATTACGCACTTGCCCCGGTCAGCCGAGGCTGGTTCGGGTCCTACATAGAGCCTAAGTATTGCACATGGGACAGCATCCCTGTGCTTACCTTCAGAGCACGAAGTGCAGCGTGAAACAAAGTTATCATACTAATAAAACAAAGCTGTACACCCTTCAGCCTCGCATCTCACTGCCAAATGGCCAACTAGCTCATCACATTAGATGTATGAGTGCTGCTAGGCTTTGGCACAAAAGCCGTTGAGCTGAGGAGTGAGAGCGGCATTGGTTGCATATTGGATAGCGAGTTTATTTGGCCTGTCAGCGTGAAAAGTGGGGTGCGAGTATCACCTGGAGTCTGGCTTTTGCCCATAGCTCAGTCTCCCTGTGACTTCTATAAATTTTTCTATTCATGATGAACTTTTAAAATGGTAGGCAAAACAAAGTAGTTTAATTTCGAAAAAAACAAGACCAGGAGTCTTGTTGCATTCTCAGTTGCATATGACAAACGGATGAGCTAGCAATAAGCTGTTGGATCTGCGAGGACAACAAGACTTTACTGGGAGACTTATCTGGACATGCACTAAGGTGTGGAAAGGGAGCGGAGTGGAAACTCACCGTATCCTTTGGATTTTGTGTCCGCGAAAATGTAGAGATACTCGTCGGTAAGAAATCCGCCATCCTTGGCTGCCAAAATGAAAGTGCGCTTGTACCCGAGTCCTTCTGCTAGACAGACTACAACAACTGAAAGATACCTGATTTGCTTTTCGACATTCATAGCATTTTTTTTGGTCCCGAGGCAATCAAAGACGAGGTGTTACTATCTACAGTCCTCATCATTACGGACTGTCGGGGCGAGTCGGTGCGGCTGCGTTTGGCGCGGTGCCAAAGTCGTTCTGCACCAGTTGTTGAAGCGGGCAAGTGACATTACTGTATTACATCCTTCGTACTCGTTTTCTACCACTTTTTGTCGCACACGCGTTCCAACAAAAAGGCTGAGAACGGCTTCAAAAGTGTGCACGCTCATACTGGCTGACACGCCCCGCCGGTCCGCAATGATGAGGACTGTAGCTCTTACTTCTCGCTCGTGTGCTGACGTTTCCCAGTGTTCGCGTCACAGTGTCAGAAGTGACATCTTGCATCTGGTAAAGAGAAGTGATTGTCACTTCTTCTGTCATGGCATAGCGGTCTGCAAAATATCACTGTCAGTTTTACCAGATGAGATGAGGTGGGTGAGTCGTAAATCCAAGCGGGGTGCCGAAACTAAATAGAACCAACAGGTACCAACTCTCTAAACGTACCACCAGGAAGAGTACCAGCTACTAAGTTTTGAAGTTTTCGAATTACTTTGAAGGAACCTTAAGTATAGTTCTCTGCGTTGTAAAGAACTTCTATGTGGCTGCTGAGAATTGGAGCATGATTCTTTGATTACATTTTACGAGGGAGACTTACTGCGTCTCCATAACTTATAATACTCTCATATAACACAAGTTACAGTGATGCATGACTTGATGGGATCTACGAGTCGTTTTTCTTAGGCAACCAGTAATGATCTCCTAATTGAAATTGCCGCGGATAGCAAGTAATTAACGTTGAGCTTCTTCTAAAACCTCAGCGAAGCCATGAAAGGGGCCGAAGTGCTGTGTCGTTTTGAGCAGCTTCTATGAATGTTGCACTTCAAAGTTCTTCAGGTTTCAAGCCGAGAGCGAATTGGATGAGATGAATGGCAGGTTATTTATCCTCCAGCACCCGGAAAGTGGCATTAGTAGATTTCAAGCGTAGATTCTGCGGCATATGTCAGCTCCTATGCTTGCCTAAGAAGGTCCCGCGTCTGGTTAAGTCAGATATTACTCAAGGAAGGAGCACATCACATGAAAATTTGCCTTGTAGATCGGTGTTCATTTTCGACAGATTTCTTTCACGAACACCCGCAAAATTTTGCTATGAGGAGTAATTCTAGCTGGAATCGAGTTCGGGAAGAAGCTCTTAGAACCAGTGTACTCATCTGTTCTCCTTCAACCACAACGCGGCTCTTTCTTATAATAGCCATGACAGTGAAGGTAGTGATACTTTTCTGCATTCTCCTTCCTTACCATTCCTGTTTCATTTAAACAATCCGCTCAATTTGACGTCATCACTTATACATCAGCAGCATACCCAGTGAGTGGGACGGAACTGATTGATACGACCAACGGACAACAAATCGTATTGATGAGGGCTGAAGGCATGGTTTGCAACGATTACTAGAACGTTTTCCCCACGCAGGCGCTCGAGTGAGCCTCATTTTGGAGTGGTCAGCGGAATATCTCGTGCTGCCCGTTTCTACAGCAGAGCAGTGCTTTGTCCGGGATCAGTGGAGTGTCTCACGCTTCCTTATAGAGTTTCTTCAACAATGAATACATTTCTCCGATCCAGCTGCCTACAGGACTTCGTGTAGCAGACTGAGGTCTCTATCGAGGTGGTTGCCTTGTGTCAACAGAGTCGTTCATCGCAACATCTGAGCAACCATCGATTGCACGTGCAGGAGTAGCAACTGACTACACCATACGGTTGTAGTCGTTATACGACAAACGCAGGCTACCGCCTAGTAGATCCCACCCATAACTCGCATCGGATACAGTTATGCCCTATTAGGGTCTCCTGATGCGCAGTTAGCCCTCAGTGCCGATGTACTGACACGTTTCCGATGACCTGCTCTAAAAAGAGAGCGCCACCAATTAGAGCAGATCAATGCTTGAAAATTACGCTTATATGCTTCCTAGGTAGCACCTTAGATACTCAGTGTTATTCAGTCCATCATTTCATCTTAGGTGGCAAATAGTTCGTTTTCCCTACCGAGCCTAATTCGCACCACATCATGATTATTTATAACCGCAACCCTTTGAAAAATGTAGTCTTCAGTTCAAGATAAAACCCTTTGCACACTGCAATTCATTGGTTTACATCTGTTTACTACTGATGTTTGAGAAAAGGGGATTGTAAAGTTACCTGAACGTCACTCTTCATTACATCACACTTTTCTTTGTCTCCAGTGTTTGAGTAGACAAATGCGAATTGGTTCCATGCAAACGCCGTCATAACAAGGCGAATCGCTATTCCAAGACTGCATAAAATAATGTGCCCTTTTACTGTTTTGTTCTCGCATGGTACAAGAGCACTATGGTCAAAAGATGTGGATTGTTTAATGATTTATTTCAAAGTTATACTAGCATAAGCCTCCACAGTTTCATACGAGTTTGATATACTCAATTCTACCTATCAATCAGTCCATCCTATTGATAAAAGGAGGGTTCTCGCCTTTTGCGAGACGAATGGGTACGCAATCGCAGCCACTTTCTCCGCTCAAAGATACGCGGCGAGAGGGTACTAGTACATCCACACTGCGCCGCGCTGTCGCAAAGGGCAGCACTTTATACCAGCATCCGTTCCTAGTCACTTTCCGGAGACTGGCGTTTTACGCTAGCTGTAGACCATTCTCTCCTCATACGGCAAAGAGCGCGATATACGAAATGTGCGAATTGTCTTCAAAGACAATTCCCGCGATCAAGTGTAACAGGTGCCAGTCATGAAGCAGTAGCCCATCAAAGGCTCACCATTATATAATGCTAAAAAAGTTTGGAAACACTCAGTGCACAGATTCCCCCCCCCCCCTAATGCGCTTTGGACAGGTTTGGCAGACCTGGACGACTCCCCCAGGGTTGCTGACACAAAATTACGGCAGCCGCAATTGCGCGTTGATTGATTTTTCGCAATCTTTTCTGCGTTTCTTTGTGTTTTGCCTAATTAGTTTTTGTATTTCATGTTTCATAGTGTTTAGTGTATTTCATGCAATACTATAACTTGTCCACTTACCTTTTTTTTCCTAGGGTTAGGCAAAATTGAAAAGAAGTATAGAGAATTGAAAGAAGGGAATGAATGACGGAAACAAGCGTAATCGACAAGAGGACCGTGCGACCAATTGCCGGCAGGAGCACAAGAAATCTCTTTATGCGCTCCAGGCAACGCTATGTACACACGCAATTCCGCATGTGAGCCGTTGTCTCGCAGAGCTACAGTACGCTGTTGCACGGTCTGCAAAGCATACGCGTCTCTAGCTTCCTCATCTCACCATTTCGGGTGACAAAAGTGGTATATTCTCCGTGAGTGCGGACAACGATGCCAAATGCACGGAGGCATTTCGCTGATCACTCAATCGCGAGAAGTGTCTTTAAGAGGAGCGAGAATGGACTACTAATATTCTCTGATTATTCTCCCACTAAAATTATCTGGTTTTTGAAGTGTTAAACATTCTGATTATATCTTGACTTCTGATTATTAAAATACTCTTTGATTTTCATTGAATAAATAGTACTAATTACAAGACAGTGTACGCCGTTTTCATACATATTTTCCTATTGAATACTGGAATCTGAACAGAAAGCCAAGCATGAGTCAGCATTTTCGACACCCTTTTCATTCTGCGTATAGTAAAAAAGTTACAGAAAAAAGTTTGAAGAAAGAAAGAAGAAGAAAGAAGTGAAGCCTTCTGAGAAGAGAGAAGCGGGATTGGACTCAACTATAACTTGTTAAATTCTAGCAGTATTTCCCGACATTGAAAAGTTCGCACTCACCTGAGGGTGTTGACGGACAGAACTCCGGTAGTTGGGAAACGGTCCATGCTATCCAAAGCAGCAGTAGTGCTCAAACCCCATATGAATATAGGGGTGTCGTAGTATGCAGCATTGAGTGCCGCAGATATGGCTGCTGAAAAGTGTTCAATGATAGCAAAGTTTGAGGACGAGTACAACAAATTGGAACCTGTGGAGGCGATCTCGAAATAAGGTCTCTTAATTCTCTAGAAGTAGGGGAGTAGCGTTTGAAGGCAAACTGTAGGGTGTCCAAGTAGTTCTGGCAATTTCGTGTTCGCGCCCTTTTTGAGTGGCCATCATAGTTTTTTTCGCTCCAATAGGTTAGTGTATTCCGCGAACAATTTCGATCTACTGTATGAATCCTCTATCCAATCACTTCTAGTTTATCCTCAGAATATCTCGAGGAAATCAAAAAAGTCACAGTGGTGGGATGCATCTTCTGGTCGGTGCTGGTCGCTTGAAGCTCCGCTGCTGCTCTCTGCTTGTGCTCTCCACCGACGGAGGATTTTGATCAAAAACTACCAGAATTGTCGTCAAGCATGCCTCCAGAAAAGGTCAGCAGAAGGCAATGGCTGCGAAAGCCGTCGGACGCAGGCTCTTTCGAGCCCTAGTCATGGTCAGGGCGAGATCTGTGCCGCCGGAGAGTCGCCTCTCGTCTTCACGGAGCGCATCGTTAAGATCAATGCTGTTAACTGCCGGTAACGCGTTCTTTGCGATGTACTGAAGCCTAAGGGTGTCGCAGCCCTTCGGTTAGGATGGATTTGTGCTTCAGCAAGACTGGGCTCCAGCACATTCTGCCACCACGATTGCCGTTTGTTAAGAGCTGTTTCCGGGATTTTGGGGCAAACGTTTGGCATCCTAGCTCGCTTGGTCCAAATCCGATGGATTACTCCATTTGGGGCAAAAATCTCAGGAATCCGATGCCGACGGTGGACCACCTGAGAGCGCGTTGCTATGTGCTTTGGACGAAATTACAGTAGAAAAATCATCGGACATTAAGAATCAGGCGCGATCAACGTCGGAAACTTCAAAAAGCCACTGAGCAAATGCACTGAGGCCGAAGGAGGCATTTTTGAGCTTACGTTGGGACTCTGTTGTTTATTGTCGTTGCTATTGATTTGATGAAGACTCCCAGTAGTTTTGGTCTGTTGATTTACTCATATGGATGGTATTTTTATACTACCAAACTATTTCGGAAAACTGCCACAACTTTTTGGTCACCCTACTTACTTACTTACGCACACTTACATCCTTGGTCTTTGCCATGTGTGAGGTGAATGGTCAGTAGCATCACGTTCTCCATTCAAAGGTGCTCTGAAACGAAGCTGGAGGGTAGTGATACTCGCGTGCTTTCCACACTCCGCCCTCCTGTCACCGCCAGCTGCACGTCCAACGATGGCCAAACACGCTACTTGTCAGTGCGCTCTCACTTCTGGTTGTTCTCTACCGCTGACTGCGTGTTTTGCTGGGGACTCTACTGCGACGCAGTGCTGCACCTTCAGGATGCGTGGCCGAGGTCGTGTGATGGCACCTGGGCATCCCCACCCTCCAACCGCCTTCTCAGGCACTTTTGAGTGAAGAGTAACATGGTACAGCAACTGTGGACCACTCATTTCGGACGAAAGGGCCGTTCTCGGGCACAAATGTGCATTTTTTCCTAAAGTCTGAACATTGCTCTATGTTTGCACATATTCATCATTTTCTTAATACACTTTGTAGGCGCTGTGGTAATTGCTGTATGCCCATATCATAGCAGCTCACTGCCATTGATTGACCGCACTTTCCGTCATTGTGAATCTTGATGGTGCAGTTCAACTACGAAGTGGTAAGTGTGAAATGACTCATCAGTGAAGATAAAGCAAAAACGTCCTCTCAAAAACCAGCAGGGACTCTTGTATTTGAGCGATGTACATGAGGTAAATAGAGACCCTGAGACATGTGGCACCTGGGTGAGAGACCGGACAACCTCGCAACCAAAGAAGTAGAATATTCAAGCATGGGAATGAGCAGACTGAAGATGGTAGTTACAGTTCAACAAAATAATCCAGAAATTTTCACTGTGCACTTTGCTCGAAGTGCAACACTACACCACAAAAGGAATTCCATCTCTTAAGTAGACGGGTATTTCTCTAATGACCTACATCCTCGTCCCATTGCCCTTTTGAGTGGGAAACGTGGGGCGTACTGTAGCTGCTAACCCACACGCTTTCCATGGCAAGAACCGTCCACGAAGGGCACAGTTGGTCTTTGAGTGTCTAATCTTTTCTTTGACCTCGTTGCTGAAGTCAAAGTCTCATGAGAACTGCTTCAAGGAAACATGAGTACCCAAAGCGCGGTGCGCCATGCTTATCTATAATGCGGTAAGCGGTTGCTATGGCCTGAAATCTTCCGTCTTCCACTCCATCTACTATATGTTGCAATGGTAGCGTCGACAAACGTCATCTCGAAGTCTGAGCGCGACCTCAGATCTAGTCTACTGAACTAGAGAAGAGTGATTGTCGTCAAGGAACTTTCGCTAATTTTCCGACCATGCCAAACAATAATTCGCTTTAATGCTCAAACCGCGACGTGCGTTCTTAGCGGGGCGACACCATGCCCAAAGAGGTTTTCCTGTAGGGGGTTTGCAACAAGGACAAGCTTCTGGGGGTCGCAATGACACTGCGTTCTTCCGTGATAATTTTTGCTTGTGAAACTGAAGTTCCACAGTTCTCAGTCAGATCTGAGAGTTTTAAGTGAGTAATGGTAATTCCCATTCGGATTTTAAAAGGCTTATCAAACCAATAGATGTTTGGCTGTCTCCTTGAGCATTGAAAAAACCTACGATAACTGCATGTAGGTCCCATAATAGCATCCACATTCAGATCTCGAATCAACTCTATGGCAATACCTGTCGCCAGCGTTTCAACGCACTGATCAAATCGGACAGTAAAGCTGGAAAATAAAAGTGATTTTAGAACGACGCTCACTTTTCTTTCATAAATTAAATATAGGAGATGATGATTCAATCAGTCGTGCAAAGAGTAAACCGCTCTGGGAGGTGGCATAACAATTTCGGTTTGAATCAAAAAAGGTAAAGAAAATCACTTCACTTACTTGAAGTCATATCCTGGTAATAGGTTTTCCTTAAATATTCGATCCTTCGCAATGAGTACAGCGGATGCCGAAGTTCTTGAAAAAAGAATGCTACGGCAAAGAAAACGCCCAAGAGATTGATCTCTCAGTTTCGGACAAACTTTACGATGATTACTTGTATCAGCTAACAACTATTTGTATCGACTACTTTTCCTGTAAGTTGACTAAGTCGTAGAGCACTACAGATTGCGGACACATTCATTCTTGCCTGGAAGATAAACCCCCGCGATGTATATACGTACACTCCCTGTCCCAGAGGTGGACAGCCCGTAGCTGCGTACTTCATTTAAAGACACATGGTACGTTCAAACACATTGAGGGTGTATGAGACTATCAGCCCCCCAGCTGTCGATGTGTCGTGGTCCCCGCCCAGACATGCCCAGGAATGGAGTTACAGGGCCGTGCAACACGCTGGTTCCTCCATGCTCCGCCTTACACCTTTTGCGGCGCAGATTCCCGTCCTTCATAACATCCGTTGCAAGCGCGCGTGTCGCGTGCGGCTCCTTGGCACTTTGCCAAGTCCTTTAATTGCGCTCTCAAATATGAGTTTATATGAATTTCTTTCTCGTTTATATGAATATGAATTTCCTGATGCGGATAACATTGGAGGTGCTACAAAATAAGAACAGAGGATGATGACAAGGGCCAGAACTAGAGCAACTCGGCTGCATCCACAGAATCCATCAGAGGCCGCGCATTCCCAGAAAACATGAGAATAAAAACAATCCAAGCGTCCCACTCGTTTATTTTAACTATTTCTATGGCTTTGCCACCGGATTCGCGCCGGATCGTAGGAATTTACAAGCGATTTTAACAACTTTGCCTTTCCTTGATTTTTTCATTTTTGTTTTATTCACATTTACATCGTTGTGCCTCATTTTTAGAATGTGTCATATCATCTCCTTGTATCTCCTTGTACATGGATTTTAAAGTATGAGCAACACTTAAAATTTTATTCGCATCAGGAAATTGCGTTTTGCTTGTATCAAACTAACGAGTATGCCGTTTTATTTTCATGCTTCGTGGAAATACGCGGCCTCCGAGGGATGTTGCAGAAGGGCACAGTTTCTTTTAAGTCCTGACCCTCGTCATCATCTTCTATTCTTATTTTGCAGCACCTCCAATGTTATCCGCATCAGGAAATTGCGTTTTACTCGTATTTGAGAGCGCAATTAAAGGACTTGGCAAAGTGCCAAGGAGCAGCACGCGACACGCGCGCTTGCAACGGATGTTATGAAGGACGGGAATCTGCGCCGCAAAAAGGTGTAAGGCGGAGCATGGAAGATAGCCGTGTTTCACGGACCTGTATCTCCATTCCTGGCATGTTGGGCGAGGGGACCACGACACATCGACAGGCGGGGGCTGATAGTCTCGTACACCCTCAATGTGTGTGAGCGTACTATATGTCTTTAAAGTGGCAGCAGCTTTGCTCCTGAGAGATATTGCAGTTTCCAAAGTGCTGTAAGCATACCTCTGTCCACTACAAAGACAGGGCAAACAAATGGACAGTAGTCATCTTGCACATAGAGGCGTGTCGGCGAGAAGGAGCGTGCACACTGGTTTGAAGCCTTCTCAGCCTTTTCGTTGAAAGCGTATGCGACAAAAAGTGATAGAAAACTAGTAACACGAAGGATATAATACAGCAATGTCACTCTCTGGTTCAGACGATTGGTGCAGTACGGGTGCTGACGACCACGCCGGCACGCAGCCGCACTGACATTGACTATCAAGTGCAAGGATGACGACTGTCAGAAACAAATACCCCCACAAACAAAGCATCCTACGCCATGTTCACGTAATGTACGCGGCCACGCCTACCCCATCTCTGGGATGTGAAGTATATATTGTGAATGGTCCCGTTTAATTATAAACCTGTGGTCGCGAAATAACTTTCTAGTGGGGAAGACAGCAACTCACTCATAAGAGTACCCGTACTCAGGACCTGGCAGCCTCTCAAGACGACTTCGTGGGACCTGCTCTTTTTATGCCTGCAAGGGGATACACTGCAGACTGTGGCTAACTAATTTTTTTCGCGTCTTTGATATTAATCTATCCAACAGTGAGAAATACCGGAAACGCGCTCTAAAAACTGAACTCGTTACGGGAAATAGCCTCTAAAGACACATGGCACGCTCAAACACATTGAGGATGTATGAGACTATCAGCCCCGCAGCTATCGATGTGTCGTGGTCCCAGCGCCCAAAACTGTACGGGGTCAGAGTGCGGGGCCGTGGGAAAGTCGTAATTCCTTGCCACACCGCCCTCACGTTTATGCTAACACCATCCGCGCGGCGCGGTCGCGTGCAGCTCTCTTGGCTTTTTGCCAAGTCCTGTAATTGCGCTTTGGAATACAAGTACAACGCAATTTCTTGATGCGGATAACATTTTAGGTGCTGCAAAATAAGAACCGAAAATGATGACAAGGGCTAGAACTCAAGAGCAATTGTGGTGCTTCTGCAATATCCCTCAGAGGCCGCGCATTCCCACAGAACATGACACTAAAACATGACAATACAAGCAAAACGCAATTTCCTAAAATTTGAGGTGTTGCTCATGCTTCAAAGTCCGAATAGAAGGTGATGAAGATGACAAAGGCTAGAAATGAAGAACAACGAATGTAGATGTAAATAAAACAAAATTGAAAAAACTAAGGAAACGCAATAAATTAAAATCGCGTATGCGCTTCTGCGATCCGGCTTGAATCCGGCTCTAAAGCTATAGGAATATTTCAAACTAACGAGCGGGATGCTTAGCCGTTTTTATTTTGATGTTTCGAGGGAATGCGCGGCCTGCGAGGGCTGTTGCACAAGCAGCACAGTTGTTCTTGAGTTCTAGCCTTCGTCATCATTTTCAGTTCTTATTTTGCAGAACCTAAAATGTTATCCGCATAAAGAAATTGCGTTGAGCTTGTATTCCAAAGCGCAATTACAGGACCTGGCAAAAAGCCAAGAGAGCTGCACGCGACCGCGCCGCGCGAACGATGTTAGTAAAAACGTGAGTTTGCAAAAACGGGCGGCGTAGCAAGTTACGACTTTCCCACGGTCCCGTACTCTGACCCCGTGCAGTTTTGGGCGGGAGGACCACGCCACATCGACAGCTGGGGGGCTGATAGTCTCATACACCCTCAATGTGTTTGAGCGCACCATGTGTCTTTAAGTTCCGGTGGGCGGAATAATTAGTGAGGCAGCGGCGGATCATGGGAGTCACACTTTTCTGTTACTCACTGTACTGAAGCTGCTAGAAGAGATAATCCTAGAGACTGAGGACTAGACTATTTGCAATTGCTTGAGCGCATGGACCGTCTTCGATGTACCATTCTGCAGGTTGGGCTGGGATCACAGCAACAAAATAGTGGCAACTTGTAGCCCACACTAACTTTCGACGTACTAGCCATATTCTGAACACTGTGACTGTAGGGTAACGCCAGACTGCGTGAGGATTTTGGAGAAAGTTAGGAATACTAGGCTGGTCCATAGTTTCCGAAAAATTTTCCTTGCTGTAGAAACCCTCAAAAAATATTTCAAAATCGTTCAAGGGCTAGCGTAGCCTGGACTTCTGCTAAACCGATAAGATATTGAGCTCGCATGTTCACTTTTCTCGTGGCCGCTATTTTGCTTTTTCGAGTTCAGCTCAGAATCATAGCATAAGGGCTAGAAGAACTAACGGAGGTATCAGACTAAACGATCAGCGCGAACTTGCACCGATGATTCAGCTCAGCACTCTGATCACGAAAACTGCTACAAGCTTGTATCAGACTTTTCAGGCTCAGAAGAGTATTTGAAATTTAGAGAGCGTCTCTCCGAAATATTTGGGCTGAGAACTAAACGAAGTTCAAAAATGGATGAAGAATAGAGAAATGGATTGGTGGGATCCGTACTGAAAAGGGAAGTTAAGGTTCATCCATTGAAATCATGTATTAGGTTGTCAAGAAAGTTCTGCAGGTTTTGTGTTACTATTTTTTTGCACATTCATTGCTGATTAAAAACTCAAACTTATCCCAAACTTAACCCTTGCATCTCAGTAGTACATCCTGAAGAGAATTCTTTGCGCTATCTGATGGTGTAAGGCTGCGTTTATACTTTGCGGCAGCGTAGCGTAGCGTAGCGCAGCGTAGCGTAGCGCTTCCAGCGTACGCCAGCGGCAGTGCCGAAGAGAGGATGCATATCGATCTAGCTTCACCAGCGGCACGCTGGCGTACGCTAGCGTACGCCAAGACGTTTCTCCAGCGTTTCACCAGCGTTTTGCTAGCGCTTGCCAGCGGCAGGGGAGTAGAGACTATGGAGAGCTGGAGCGCTACAAAACTCATCGATTGCGCGTCTCCCACTCGCCCTTTAGGTCTCTACAATGCACATCGCTTCTGCGCTCTCCGACGGCCCCATAGTCTCTACGATCCACATTTCTTCTGCGTCTCGACGCCAACATAGTCTCTACAATGCACATCGCTTCTGCGTCTCCGACGGCCATATGGTCTCTACAATACACGTCGATTCCGCTTCTCTCACGGCCACATTAGTCTCTACTCCCCTGCCGCTGCAAGCGCTAGCAAAACGCTGGTGAAAACGCTGGAGAAACGCTGGCGTACGCTAGCGTACGCCAGCGTGCCGCTGGTGAAGCTAGATCGATATGCATCCTCTCTTCGGCACTGCCGCTGGCGTACGCTGGAAGCGCTACGCTACGCTGCGCTACGCTACGCTACGCTGCCGCAAAGTATAAACGCAGCCTAACTGCCGTTTCACCATTGCTTGATGAACCCCCTTTTTTAAGATTTTTCCAAGCATGTGAAAAGAGCACTTCGGACGATTTTTTTCTTCGACTGTAAATTGGGGCAATCCGCAATCGAAACAGCTCAACAAATTAACCAAGTGTGGGGGCCCAATAGTGCTAGAGAAAGCACTGTGCGGCAATGGTTTAACAAGTTTTTTTTCTGGAGATTTCAACCTTGAAGATGAATCTCAGCGGTCGACCTAGCGGTCCTAAAGCAATATCGAGGTTTTTAAGGGGATTTTGATGGCTGACCCATCCTAAACAGTTCGAGAGATTGCAGAAAAGCTAGGCGTTGGCAAATCCACTGTTGCAGATGGTCTGGAACGCATTGGGAAGGTGAAGAAACTCGACAGCTGCGTGCCCCACAATCGGAGTGACCGGCTGGAATCGGCACGTCTCGAGGTTCCTTCCGCGTTGCTTTTGCGCAGCAGAAACGACCTGTTTTTGGACCGAATTGTCACCTGTGATGAAAAATGGGTTAAGCATGATAACAGGAGACGTTCCGGACAGTGGTTGGGTTTCTATGAACCACCGAGGTAATTTTAAAAGCCGAACCCTCACGAAAAAATTCTGGTCACGGCTTGGTGGTTCGGCTGGTGTGATCCATTATAACTTTTTATCACCAGGCTAAGCCATCACAGCAGAACCTACTGTCAAGTAATCGACGGAATGTACCGAAAATTTTGTCAGTTGCAGCCAACCTTATCAAAAGAAAGGGCCCGATTGTTTTGCATGACAACGCCCGCCCACATTTTTCACAAATCACTATCCATAAACTGAACGAATTGGGGGTTGAAGTTCTACCACACCCACCATATTCTCCAGACCTTTCACCAACCGACTATCACCTTTTCTAACATTTTCAGAACTCCCTCGCTGGAAAATACTTCATCAATCAGGACCAGGCAAAAAGCCTTCGTGGATTTCGTGGATTCTCGACCACCCACTTTACCCTTTGATGGGATTTCTTGGCTGCTGTCACACTGGCAAAAGTGTGCTGATTCGAATGGTGCTTATTTGGATTCAATCCGATGAGTGTTAAGAAAGTTATGATCGTTTAAAGTTAAACACTGAAAACCTGCAGAACTTTCCGGACAACCTAATAGAAAACCTGGGATAGGGTTGTTTTTTACATCTTATAGAACCGTCGGACAACATCATGGGTCCATTCCAGTTTTTGATATCCTATATACAACTGGGGCTTTGTGTAGATCATAACGGAGCGGAACTTCTTCTGTTCCTCATTCGGACTGGTGTAACACACCTGTAGCCAACCGTAATGTCCATGTCTGGTATGCCATCAACGAACATGAGACCAATGTTTAGCACACGACCGGAAACAAGGCTGAAGACCTGAAATGGGAAGCGCTACAAAAATTGTGCAACTAAGTCCACGAATTCATTAATTTCAGTTTATAAGGTACTTTACTAGTTACTGTCCAGTTTCCAGGCCCTGAAAAATGCGATCTCGTAAAGAATGCACCCGGATGAAGCTTGACAGCAATCTTGGCTGGAAGCTAAACAAGAACTCGTATACAACTAAATTTTATTCTCCATCAGCATTTATTTCTATGAAAAGTTTCCAGAGATAGGGTCACCTGAAACTAATTCGTTTTACCTAAGTGTAACATGAGACTGATGAAGGTTAGCAGATCAATCCATCTTTGAGATCCACCTTTGACGTCACTCGTAGCGGCATCTGAATTTTATTTGGTCCTTGCGATAGCCAACTAAGGCCAAAATGAATCCTTGTAGAACAGCAGGATGTAGTTTAGCGCATTCAAGCACCATCGCGTTGTGCAATAATTCTACTGAATGCGATCACTTCCTAACACCCCCCCCCCCTTGATAGCTGGTACGGCTTCTTCAGAGATCACTAAATAAGACAAAAAGAAATGGCACCTCATTGAATAATTGACCTTAGACCGTTCGCGCGCATTCAGATACTGCTCGCACACAGTCCAGTCGGGTGGTTGGGCGGAAAAAGTATAACTATGCATTTGAGCATTCCGTCGAGCCAAATGATTCGGGAGTATAAGGGGTGCTATGGTACTAGCAGCATTTTTGCCGTGAAAGTTGGAGCGGAAAATTGTGTTGTTGGTTTCAAATTAAAGAAAAGAATGTCGAAATATAAGCTCAAGCTCTACTATGAGGGGTTTTTTATACTGTTAAAAGTGGACCTTTCTCTAGCAAGGAAACGTACCGTAACCAGGAAGTATAGTATTACCATCACAACACCACGATTTTGTTGAGATGGTCATGCTACGCCATCTTAAAGGCGTATGAAGCCTCACACCTCATTCATCGCGATATTAACCTCAACAGGATTCACTGCAATGTACGTCTACAACTGCGTAGAAAGTGGTAGGTTTCAGTAGCTGTTCATTATGAATTGAGCTGATTCTGTTTAGATATTATAAATACTAAATTAGCTCCCCTTGATCTAGATAGCCGACTAAGAATCGGAAGGGCTCAAAAAAATAGGATTATCGAAGCCAACCATAAATTTCACTCGTTCACCCCAAACATGTATATGGGTAGAAGCTTTGTTCAATTCAATAATGTTGCTGTGCCTCTTGATTTGTTAAGTGGAATCTTTATTTAACGGCGTGACGTCTCGAATACCACGAAATGCTCTTCAAAAGATGTCTACAACCAAACAAGCTAAGGCAGCGTTCAGACTTCGCGACGGCAGCGCTTCGGCCACACGCTTGACGCGATCGATGCGCACATTTTCGACAGCATCGATTGCGGCGAACGCTCGACCGAGCGCTGCCGTCGCGAAGTCAGAACGCTGCCTAAAAAACCACTTGGCTGACGCGCATCTGCTACTGCTCTTTGAGCTTACATCTGGCAGGATGTGTAAGACCCCTACATCTGGCATCTGAACACTTGACCTCCGTTCCACCCCGTTTCCCGTCACCTCGCCAGTTGGTTTGCTTTTAGTAATGGCAGCTGTCAATATTAAATGCTTGCCCACATTATAACAATATCAAAGTGCTTATCGCCACTCTTATCATAAAAACATGCTTCACACTCCAATTAGGTCATCCCATTCAGTGCCAACATCTCATCATGTGAAACAAAGAGAAAAACAGAAAAAGTAATATTTTGCTTTGAATTAAGTAGACTCCCCTTCACCAATGACCCGCTCTCAGCGCCCGTACGCGTTGGACCTTTGTACCTTTCGGTTGTTTCAACAAGCTGTTGATGCCGATTCTGGCAAATGACAACATGTTTGTCATTTGCGTTTGCCTCGTCGGAGACTACCACGACTGACCAGAAAAGTTGGAATCGAACGGCTTTATGATGGCGAATTGGCGTGCCGATTGAAGCCGGGTCTCACTATTGTTTTGTCCCAGCACGTGTCTTACAAAATATTACTAGGGTCTGGTAATATGGGACGAGCAACCCTTCTTAGTTGTGGTTGGGTTAACGTCGCCTTTTGGTCGATCTATTGTCAGAAGACCAGGCAATATGCCACCTCACATTGACGATTTTAATTCTCTGGCATATAGCAGCGCCGAAAGGCCACAGGTAGGAATGCTTTCGATATTGGATTGGCATCCGCTTGCGTCCTCACGTAGAACTCGGGCACTTCTCATCTGCATTCATAAAAAATTTGACAATTGTGATTTTTGCGTCATCCATATCTCTCATTTAGGGCGTGGGTGCGTTTTCACAGTCCGGCGAATGACAATCTCATGATGGAGAACACGACTCCTACAGGCACAGAATCGGTACTGCTTGCGTGCTTCTAGAGAAAATCACGTCACCGTGCCTATGCGCACACCCTCTTGACCATCCTCAGCTTTATCAGTATTAGTGGCCCTTGGTATTGCAGCAGGACCGGTCAAGCTCGCAGAGACGCTCGACAACTCGTCTCGATGTTACAGACATCAGCACTTGACTTCGTCCACCCCTTTTTTCTTCGTGAAACATTATGGGGCCATCCACGGACAACGCATTTTTTCCTTTCCTCCTTCTTGAAGCGCCTGAACTAATCCAAATCTGCACCTTGCCGTTTGAGGAAACCCCATTACGACGCAAACTACTGTCTGGCACAGGTCAATTATGTGCAGCGCACTTCCCTCTTGTGACCGGCCTGATTTGAGACAATTCGATATGATTTTCACCTTTCAGCGCCCTTCTTTCAATTTCCTCGAGAAATGCTTCTCGAGGAAATTGAAAAGAAGCCTGAAAAGGTGAAAATGTGGGAGGTTTTTCGCACAAATTCACAGATACAAAGTTACTAGCTTCCATGGTATAGTGGCCGTTGTCGTATCCTTTTGTTTTCTGCCTTCCTCTTGAGTTCGGCACTTTTGGAATGGGATGACCAATATTGTAAAAGCTTTCCAGATTTTCCAATAATAGTGCTGTTTTTTCCATTTATCCGGGAATCTGCGAAAGCTTAGCTCGTGTGAACATTTTCGGAGGTAACAAGTAATGAAAGCTCTTGCCACCTGAGAGAGCAATCTCCACATTATTCATTTGCTATAGTAACGCCTTATCGCTTCCTTATTTGGTGTGACAGTTTATTATCACTGGAACCTGATGAACCAATCACTTCTACATCGGTCACTTGCTCGATCACATTGGCCTAGAGCAATGCGCGGGCGGACGCGAGCTGCATACCGCTCTGCCGCTCCACCGGCCCCCCGACAAACATGCAATGTAACGAACTATATTTCTTCAAAGTTTTGATTTCTGGTTAATGTGAGATTTCGGTGCTTACTGCTATCATGGAGAATGGAACGGTGCTTGCTTCACTGCGACCTATTATAACTACGGTAATGTTCACGTCGCCAGCCACTATGTCACTTATAAACTTGGACTCTCTTAATTGGTTAGATAAGTAGGAAGGTGAAAATCAAACGTTCAAACACTCCAACAGTAGTAAGAAGGAAGGTGAAAATCAACGCAAACACTCCACAGCGTTAGATAAGAGCGAAGGTGAAAATCAACGGTCAAACATCCCAACAGGCCAAACTTAGCGAATTATATATGTAGCACAGCGAGATAAGCTTGTAAAAGCCTGCGTGAGGATCTCTCAAGTGCAGATATGGGTCGGTTCCAATTGCTCAGCTCTAGGATTTTGATCATTCTTTCTGAACTGAAACAGCTGGAATCCTCTTCATTAGAGGATCACAATCCTTATTCCTTTCCGCTCCACCTCTGTCCTTAATCAGACTTCGATATTCATATTGAAGTGATGCTACGATCATAGTAACCGCCAAGCTGTGTGTTGGTCCAGAAACACCATTTCTTTTCGTCCAATTTCAATATGCCAGGTATGAATCATCTTTCTTCAAAAAGCCGTTTATCATTCGAACGTTCGCCTGCGCCATAAAAGGTTTCATATCTGGCATACATGAGCGCTTAAGAGCTATTACATGGTGGAGATCGCTTGCTTCACGCGCCGAAGGTGCAGGGCAGGGCAGGTTGTTCCATTCACACCTGGTCCAGCTCACATCTAGGACGCGAAACGGAAAACGAGGGCTAGGTTGGAAAGAAACAATCATTCCATTGTTGTAAGTGACCAGCTGCTGACAGAAGATCAGCCTCGGGTTGAGCGCCATCTGTGACCACGCGGCAGAAAGGTCTGTGTGAGTGAGATCGCGCATCCCGTGGTAGCTGGTGGAAATTGTTTGAGGGTCTCTATGACAGTGCGCAAGACATGAATTTACCAAAACGGATTCATGTAGAAAACACATGGCGAAGGTTAAGGCCATGTAGCAGGGAGCGAGACTAGACGATATGCCGACAACACAACGACATTAATATGCTATGAATCCATACACCGAAAGTATAAAAAAACAAGGGGGTGTACGAGAGGACCGACCAAGCAGATGGACGAGTGGAAGACCGGAAGTTGAACGGTGTTGCCTGTCAGACTCCCGCTTTATGCCTGGAAACTCGTCTAGATGGAAGCACACAATGACTTACTGCCTCAATACTGCGATGCTCGTTTAATTTAGCGTTTAGATGGGTGGGTTGAGGCGGCGGATGGTGGGTATTTTTGCGAACAACCTCTACTTAAATTGACTTACTCGCTGTTGATAGGGTAGGCATGCTACTCACTTGCATTTTGTTTCTTCAGGCTGAATACGAGCACATGCAATTTATGAGCGCATAAGCTTAGGTCGTTCAAAGCGATGTTGTCCGGCCGATGTGTGCGTGCATGTTTGTCTTCGTTCTGCGGGTTCGAAGTGAGCGATTGGGAACAAGCAGTGAGCATATGCACCGGTTGGCTATCGACAAGCATAATTGCCATTGATGCAAGTAATATGTGAGATGTCAGCCTCTCTGGAATTCTAAGGTGTCGATGACAAAAATCATTCGAAGAACCTTTGAAGTTAACCCGCCTATCGCCGAATCTGAGTGCCGTAGTTTGGGAGAGCCAGAACCTGACGCAGCGGGATTACGCGTGTGTGGGGGTCTGCTTACTACGTTGACGAGCATTTTCAAAAAAACAATCTGGTCTTGTTCGGCGGGGGACGGAGTAGGGGCTTGTTCAACGCAATCTATTCGTCCGCACGCGGACATTCAGTGATGTGTACAGGACAGGAGTTGCGAGAGGAGTCCACCCTCTGGAGATCCACCATCACTGAGCTCGCTTCTATGGCATGAAGTTTACTGTTAATGAAAATTTTTCGGCAGAGCGGTTTCATTTCTCAACGGCACAAGCCTTGCTTCAGC